CCGTCTGGGGCACGGCCCTCCACGCGAGCGGGTGCTGCTCGCCCAGCTGGCTCCCCAGGGGTGTGATAGAGTTGACCAGCGTGGTCAGGTTGATGAAGTGGGCCACGGACTGCGGGTTCGCGGCCTCGGGCTGCGGGTGGATCTGGACCTCGCTGGGCCGGTTGTGCAGCATGGTGGAGCCACTGACGGTGTCGAAGGTCACGGTGAGGATGGAGTTGTCCAGCTGGAGCTGGCGTTCGGGGGTGGTGAGGTGCCCCACGGCCACCGGCTGCAGGTTGGTAAACTGAGTCCCGGCCGTGGTGGTGATGGGCGTCACGGTGATGTTGGCCAGGCCGACGGAGCTGGATGGGGCGGTCACGCTCGGGTCGCCCAGGGTCACCACCACCTGGAAGAGACCACGCGCGTGACTGGGTCTGCGGAAGGGGTGCAGCGTGTGCGGAGGCTTGGCCTCGTGCCGGGGAGGCCGCGCCCTGGGGTGGGGAAGAGGAAACCGCCAACCACAAGGCCGGGCGGTGAGCCTGTCAGGCCAGTGGCTGAGGAAGCACAGCAGGCCACGAGGGCCGCATCAACGGGCTTTCTGCCGGCACCGCCACACCTCCCAGAGCCAGACGGGCGCGGCGTTAGACACAGACCTGGAGGACAGCGGCCTGGCCGGGAGGGACAAGTCGGGCACGGCGTAGGAAGTGAGCCCGGTGGGCACGGCCCTGGCTTCACCAGAACCCGCTCTGGGTCCCTGGGGTGGGCGGCTCTGGCTGTGCCCGCCTGACCACAGACACCAGGGATGGCACTCGGCGCTGCAGGGCCATGCTCCGCGGGGACCCACAGGGCGCCCCGAGGTGCAGCCGGAGGGCACTGTCCGTTCCTGTGCCAGGGGTCACGGTGCTGTCAGCAACGGCCCAGATGGGGCAGGGCTTCTGTGCACACGGGCACCCGAGCGCTGACTGCACGCACAGCCCGGCCATCCGCTCTGCGGGAAGGGGCTCCACGCCCGCCACGCCCCCCTGCTGGATGCTCTGCACGGCGGAGCTGG